CTGGCAGGGCAGCATGGTGGCTGAGTGGTTAACACTGCTGCCTCGCAGCATCACGGACACTGGTTCAATTCCACCCGCTGGCAACTGTCTGTGTGGAGTTTGCACACTCTTCCCCGGTGGCGGGCGGGGAATAGGCCCTGCAGGGTGTGGGCAGGCGGGGGCAGTGGGCTGAGTGAGGGGTTGCGAGCAGGAGGGAGGCACAGCATGGGATGAGCAAGTGAGGGGGTGTCGTTAGGGCAAGTGGAGGTCTTGTTACAGGCATGGGGGTGGTCCTGGTTGCAGGCGAGATCGGAGCGTCATAGAGAGAGAGAGACACATTAGGAGGTTTATTGAAATGGCAAGCAGTTGGGAGGTCAGGGTCATTCCTACAGACATATAGTGACCTGGTGTGTGTTTGGTCCCACCACTGTGAAGGAGACTATAATGTGAGCAGTGAATGCAGTAGGCTAGACTGAGAGAAATGCAAGTGCTTCACCTGGAAGATATGATTGGGACCTTGGACAGTGAGGAGGGAGGAGCTAAATGAGCGACTATTGCATTTTCTGCTATTATAAGAAGGTGCAGTGGGGGTGTGAAGAAATGTTAGGAGTAGACCAAGATATCATGGCCCTGTGGACTGCTGATATTAGAAGCAAATGAAGGATATGTTTATCAGTGGCATCCTGGTGGATGGAGGATGGACGTTTGAATGCAGGGGCTGATGGGTGGAAAGTAAGGTCGATGGAACCCTGTCGTTGTTCTGGGAAAAAGTAAGGGCATAAGTGCAAGAGATGAGTCAGATGATCCTGAGGGTTAAAGTTACCACCAGTCATGTCACACTAATACAAGAATAACTTTATGGTCTGGTAGGACTATAGCAACTACTTTTTATTGCCAGCCTTGTGTGAAGATGTTCAGTGACTGTAACAATAACTGCCACAAAGTTCCCTTCTAAGTCTATCCCATTTAGCACAGTGTTCGTGCCACATAACCCAATCGAGGATGCCCTCATTGCGAATATGGCACTTTGCCTCCAAGAGGACTGTGCAGTGGTCAATCTTACTGTCATGTACAGATGCATCTCTGGTAGGGAGATGAGTTCGAGTTTATTTTTCCCTATTGGTTAACTCATCGCCTGCTGCAGACACAGTCAAGCAACTATATCCTTTAGAATTCAACCAGCTCGGTCAGTAGTGATGCTGCTGATTCTCTCTTGGTGATGAACATTGAAGCCCCCGCAATCCAGAATACTTTCTGTGCCCTTGCTATGCTCCATGTTTCCTCCAAGTTAGTATGGACTCAATGGACTGAACGGCCTGCTCTATTACCGTAGGGGCTCTATGATTTCAAGTGTGTTCAAATGGAAGAGTACTAATTTATGAACCGAGAGGGGAAATGGATCAGCCTGAGCAAGAATCTTTTGATCTCTTTCCAGATGTTTCTTTGAAAGCTTTGACTGTAAAGCATCCTATCAAATAGGGAACCATTGGTCAGGGTCTAAAATCTCTTTCTTTCCCACAGAACCTTGATGATGTGACATATGGGCCTGTTGTTGATTGAAGTGGGGAATTTTTTTTTTTGCGCACAATGCACAGGTGATATGGCATGATCCAACTGACTGGAGTTTTCTGTGGTAACGTGACCAGCCTATCCTTTGTGACCCCTCCATTAGTATTGACACTGTGGGGCCAGTTCACAGCTTGGTATAACCAATAGAATGGTGGTCATCAGAATGACTGGAGACAGTGGATACCAGGACAATATTTACCTTTTGAGGGACATTAAAACAAGGGGGTATAGCTTAAAAATAAGAAATCTCTCTTTTAAGACTGACAAGGAGAATTATTTTCTGTTTTGTTAGAAGGTGGAATTTTCTTCTCAGGAGGTAGTATAGGTTGGGACTTTAAAGTTATTCACAGCTGAGTTAGATTTTTGATCGATGAGGGAATCGTGAGCGACGGGGTGCAGATAAGAAAGTGGAGGTGAGACCACAACCAGTTGAACTGATATTGAATAGTGGACTAGGCCTGAAGGGCCAAATGCCCTTTCTTGCTAAGTGCTGTGTTCCTATGATCTGATCAACTGTGTAAGAGGATGAAGGAGAATCTCTCTATTAATATAAAAGGTGAATGTGATTAAACATCTGCTCCAAGTAATCAATTGATTATTTGTACCTTTAACTCTATCTCTGAGGCTTACATAAATTAGTGGTTGAGACTTCAAGTACTTGCAATTGCAGCTTTGAAAGACTTAATTTCTTCTGGCAATGTGACAAACGGTTACTAAAATTTTACAGATCCTTTGACTTGAGGTGAGCTGAGTGCATTGCCAATTCTTGTATGATCCGTTTCAAAAATTGATTACACGCCTAAATATACTGTAGTCATGAGGTGGAATAGGACCAAATGTCTTGCTTATGAGCAAGTGTATTAAAGTACTTAAGCTAAAGTACTTTAAACTAAAGCTAATCACTGATATTGCTCAAAGTACTTTAAGCAACATCAGTAATTATTATCAGTAAGGCTAGCCCTTTAATTCAGGTAAATTCCTGGTCCAGGCATGCTGGTAAAGCACAAAAGCACTAGGACAAAAGCAAAATTCTAGAAACCAGAAATCAAACAAACAGTACTATTAGTATTTAGCAGGTCTTGCAGTATCTCTTGGGATGGGTGTAATATATCATGTTGTTAACATTTTGAAAATAGTGTCTTGGAGTCTTATCTAGTTCAGGATCCAAAGTAAAAAGTAATATTTCAGGAATTCACAGCTATAAGCACAAGTCTACTTTGGGGAATTACCTGTAAATCGATTTCTAGGGATTATTTTTAAAAACAAACCACTAGAATGATCTGAATGCGCAATGGAAGCAAAATCATGATAATGTGTTAGTGAGATAGGGAAAACCCACCCATTCAGCTCACAGGCATGTAACCATCCTAACTCCTTGTGTTTATCTCATTATCTCTCAAATGTTTTGATTGGTTTGGTTTCTGTAACTGCATGTTATGATAAATGCTAGTGATCTGTTAAGTGGAAAAGTATATTTCCTAACTTTCACATTTATGCTTTTAGACCTAATCCTAAGTGTGTGCTTCCTAGCCACTGATTTTGGCACAGTAAAATACTTTAATTCAGTGCTGGTTCAGCTCTGTTTCACAGGAAGTGGATGGAACAGCAATGTTTTAATAACTGTACCCTACCTGTGAATTTCCACTGATTTGTCTCATACACCATAGGAAGAAACCATTTACTATGTCAACTGCCTTACAGCTGGCCAGTTGGTGATCTTTCTCCAAAACCTTGAAAGTTTCCTTGTTAAATGCCAGAACCATTCCCTCATGGAAGTTACTATCTATTGGAGCTGCTTCCACAACCCTTTTCAAGCAATGCATTCCAGCTCTTCTCAATGTGTCAATAAAAATGTTTTATTAGTTTTCTTGGGTACTTATTTCCCCCCAGTTAATGTCAAGCTGCTGCTTTAAATCTTAGCTCATTCATCTGTCAACTGCCTTCATCCTGGATGAAGTTGGATAATTTGAAGTTATCAAGATATTGATCAAATTTTGAATGAATTATTCATTTGACCCTTCTGAGGAAAGGTCCTGACTGAAACGTTAGCTCTGACTTCTCTCCATAGTTGCTGGCAGACCTGCCAAGCTTTTCCAGCAATTTCTGTTTTTGTTTCAAATGGGTTATAGTTCAACTATTACTTTCACTTTTTTGGTTGGTATATTGTAATTTATGACGTTGAATTTAAACCTGAAACCAAGGGCTTTATTTTTGTGGCATTGGGAAGACTTTGTTGACCTTAACCTAAATGGTAGTTAAGACACAGGTGGAAGGGCTGTCCTCGTTTCACAAATGGTTGGCATGCAGGTATAGCAAATAAATGGAATATTAAACTTTATTGCAAAGAAGCTGGTTGATTACAGTAGAGAAGTCATGCTATGACTAGAGGGTAATTGTTAGACTGCCCCTAGTGTATTGCATACAATTAGTTCTCCTTATTTGAGGCGTATCAGCATTGGAGGCTGTTCGGATAAAATTTGCGAGGTTAATTCTTGAAGGTGTTGTCCTATGGATTATTTTGCAGGTTGGACCTATAACAGCTGGAATGAGGTGTGATTTTATTGAAATATAAGTTTCCAAGGAATCTTGAAGGGTCGATGCCGGGTGTAAGCTATCCCTTCTGGGGGCTTTGAGAACTCGGTACAATTTCAAACCAAGGGCTCTCCCATTTAGGATCAAGATGAGAGGAACTTTTCTGTTCCCCAGTGAGCATCATTGATTTTGATAATGAACATATTCAAACAAATCATTGTTTTCTAAAGTAGTCGGGTTATGTAGGGCAGGCAGGAAAGTGAAGTAAAGGATGTCATCAGATCATCTTATTGGATGGTGCATGAAGTTTGAAGAGCTATATAACTTCTGTTCCTATTGTTTTTATTGTTACTTAAGGCAAAACTTTCTTCCTTTCTGAAAAACAAGAAACCCAAATGGGCAAGGCAGTTTATGGAAGTTGTGTCTAAGCTATTTAACTTGAAAAGCATTTATAATTGGGTGTCCTGCTGAAGTGATGGAATAGGTTTAGAAATGAATTACTTCTTTCCTGCCACCCTCTTCAAGTAATTTATTTTTTCAATCATGTGCATTTTTGTAACATGGCGACAAACAATTCAACAAGGAATTTTTGTTTTCTTCAGATTTCTTTTTGCCTTATACATTTTAGATATGTGTGTTTTCTTATTTAATTACCTTTTCAGCTCTCCCATCCTTTGTAATTTTTGCATTTCCAGGCATTGAATTCCAGTTTTGTAAACTAATATTTTTGATTCTGTGTCCAGTTTTTGGGATGGGAAGGTGGAGAGTTGGTGAAAGAGACAACATTTTGGGTCATGAGAAAGATGCAGTGCACCTTTGTTGAGCTGGATACCTCAATAGATTCTCCTTCATTCTCTTAAATGACCTTTTAGCTGACTTCTAGAATGCTGTTTAATTTGAGAACTTTTCTCTTTCTTCAGATTACCTTGGACAAAGTAATTGGAATTACAGCTTCCAGCAGCAGTAGTTTAGCCTGTGATTTGACCACAGGACTAGTGGCATATCCAGCAGGGTAAGTGGCATAAGACTGTCCTAAGCATTGTGGGATGATGTGTAAACATAATGGTACAGGTTTCTGTTGGGTAGTTAACACTGTCTTTTAGAAGCCAACAATGCAACACTATTTTCGCACATCGACCTCTGCATTGCAGGTTATTTTACCCTCTGTATAACAGAGTAGAAATACAGAAAGCAACATTTTGTTTGTCAATATTTAAACGTTTTAATGAATGATGTGGAATACACAAAGTTGTGCAATTTTTTTTAAATGAAACAATTGTCTGCTGGCTTATAACTGCTACTGGAAGTACCTCCGTATCACACCATAATTTCTTTATTTCAGCCATAGTGTTTAGGAAGTAGCAGAATGATGTTTCTAATAAGAAACAAGTAGATTTTTCAGTATGTTGCCTCAAGTTGAACATTAGAAACATAGAAAATACCAGCAGGAGTTGGCCATTCAGCCATTTAAGCTTGCTCTGCCATTCATTATAATCATGGCTGGTCATTTAACTCAGCCTTTTCCCTTTGATCCCTTAGCCCTAAGAACTATATCTAACTGCTTCTTGAAAACATTCAATATTTTGGCCTCCTGCTTTCTGTGGAAGAGAATTACACAGGCTCACCTCTGGGTGAAGGAATTTCTCCTCGTCTCAGTACCATGTAGCCCATCCCGTATCCTTAGATTGTGACCACAGGTTTTGGGTTTCACAGTTATCAGGAAAGTCATTTCTATGTTTACCCTGTCTAGTAGTTTAGAATTTTGTAGATTTTTATGGCATATCCTGTACTCTCCGTGAAGACCAACATGTCATTTACCTTTTTCATCACCTGTTGCATCTTCATGTTTTGACAACTGGTTAGCAAGTTCACCCAGGTCTTTTTTCCAACCTGTTGCTATTAAGATAACAACCTAACTTTCTGTCTTTGCAACCAACTTCAAAAGGCATTTAGACAAACACAACCAGCAAGGAATATGGACCATGTGCAGGCAGATAGGATTAGTTTAGATTGGCAACATAGTTGGTGCAGCCATGGTGGTCTGAAGGGTCTGTTTCTGTGTTCTACTATTCTGTGTTCTAATGTGCAATCTCATATTTGTACACATCATTATAGTTCATCTGCCATACCTTTGCCCATTCACTCAAATTGACCAAATCATACAGAGGCATCCTTGCGTCTTCCTCACAGTGCATCCTCCCACTCAGCTTTTTGTCATCTGTAAACTTGGAGATATTACATTTTTAATTCCCTCATCTAAATCAATAATGTACATTGTGAATAGGTGGGTTCCAAGCACTGATCCCTGCGGTACTGCACCAGTCACTGCCTGCCACTTGGTGGGAAAAATACCTGTTTATTCCTACTGTCTGTTTTCTGACTGCCAATCAGTTCTCTATCCTGTAACCCTAATCCTATATGCTTCAATTTTGCATGTTAACCTCTTGTGTGGTATCTTAGCAAAAGCCTTCTGAAAGTCCAAATGAACCACATCCACTAGCTTGTCCTTAGTAACTCTACTGGTTACGTCCTAACAAATCTACTGGAATTTTGTGATTGAAGATTTCCCTTTCATTATTCAATGCTGTCAGTGTTTTCCAAGTGCTGTGCTATTAAATCTTTTATAATGGACTGTAGCATTAATTCCACTACCAATGTCAGGCTAGCTAGTCTGTGATTCCCTGTTTTGTCTCTACCTCCATTTTAAATACTGGGGCTGCATTAACTAACCCTCCAATACAAAGGAACTGTTGTAGAATCTTGAAAGATGACCAGCAATGCATTCACTATTTCTATTTCACTATTTCACTCCCTTTAAAGTATTCTGGCATGTAGATTATCAGATCCTAGGCTTTTTAATCCCATTAATTTCCCTGACATAATTTCCTTCAGTTCCTTCTCCTGTATTCCCCAACATATTTGGCATGTTATGAATCCTCCTTAGAAGACAGAACATCTCTTTGTTCCCCACTATATCTTCCCCTGTTTCTGACTGTAAGAAACCTACATTTGTTTTTCTTTATTCATTTGTGGGATGAGGGTGTTGCTGGCTAGGCAGCATTTATTGCCCATCCTTGATTGTCCAGAGGGCAGTTAAGAGTCAGCCAAATTGCTATGGGTCTGGAGTCACATGTAGGCCGGACCAGGTAGGGAAGGCAGCTATCTTCCCTAAAGGACATTAGTGAACCAGATGGGTTTTTTCCGACCATCGTCAATGGATTCATGGTCACCATTAGATTCTTAATTCCAGATTTTTATTGAATTCAAATTCTGCCATCTGCCATGGTGGAATTCGAACCTGGGTCCCCAGAGCATTATCTGAGTTTCTGGATTAACAGTCCAGCGATAATACCACTAGGCCATTGATTGTAAAAGCTTCTGCTATTGTACTCTATATATCACTTCTTATTCAATCCCTTTGTCATCCTTTGCTGAAATCTGTACTGCTGCCAATCTTCAAAGAACAGAAGTACAGCACAGGAACAGGCCCTTCAGCCCTCCAAGCTGTGCCGATCATCATGCCCTAACTAAACTGATAAACAAACCATCTTCCCTTATTTGGTCCATATCCCTCTATTCTCTCCCTATTCAGAAAACGGTCTAGATTCCTCTTAAATGTCGCCAGCATGCCTGCTTCCACCACCTCTTCTGGCAGTGTGTTCCAGTCTCCTACCACTTTGTGTGAAAAACACCCCTCTCACATCTCCCTTAAACTTTCCCCTTCTCACCTTGAACCTGTACCCCCTTGTAATTGAAATTTCAACCCTGGAAAAAAAACCCCTGAATATCAACCCTATCTATGCCTCTCATGATTTTGTAGACCTCTATCAGGTCTCCTGTCAGATGCCTTCTTTCCAGTGAAAACAATCCTAGTCTCTTTAGCTATTCCTCCATAGCCAATGCCTTCAAGACTGGGCAACATCCTGGTGAACCTTCTCTGCACTCTCTCTCCAAAGTTTCCACGTCCTTCTGGTAATGTGGCAACCAAAACTGCACATATTACTCCAAATGCGGCCTAACAAGGGTTTTACATAGCTGCAACATGTTTTGCCAACTCTTGTGCTCCATGCCCTGACCGATGAAGGCAAGCA